CACATAACTGAGAGTGCGCCTTTTAGTACGGTGCGCCTTATGGTCGTGAAAATACGGTAGTATTTATAAGCTTAACAACACTACAAACAAACATTTCCCACACGTCTCAATGCCTCATCAGCGCAGCACATGCATTCTATTCATGACAGGATTAAATGCAAGCTTACCGGCTGTCTGCTGGCTGTTCAGTCCTTCGCTTCTTTAATACAAATTTTGCACAGCTTCTTCCACTGCTCGAGTAGAACGGCAGGCTTTTTATTTCATGCTGCGATCCTCTGCTTAAACTAGGAAGTTTGTCTCACCTTCTTTTGATCGACTGATTGATTGCACGCGGGTAAGCTGCGTGCTCACGCTCAAACAGCTGATGTAAACAAAGGGGGCGTTCGCCGCAACAGTAGGCCTGGTCTAAACTATGTGGGTAAAGAGCCGCACTGACTGAAAGCTGAGTGAGGGGATTATCATGCTTTAAATAACTGCTATCAAAATCAAATTGTTTTGCAGCTCTTTTCATTATTAGATGCTACAGCTGTTATCCGTCTTATGAAGCTTTTAAATCAAAGTGATTTTAACTCACCTTGTTATACCAAGCTGTAACAATGAGCTTCTCCTCGACCTCCTTCAGCCTGGCCTGCTCACATAGACGCTAAAATAAAGAATACAATTGAATTATTACACTTCTTCCCACGTTCATTGATTCATATTCGTTTCATGAAGGTGAAATTACTTCGAGGTTGAGGATCTGCTTGTCCCGATCTGCCACTTGGTTTCTAAGAGCCTGGATCTCAGCAGTGGCAGGATTCAGCTTGGGGTCCAAAGCTCGTATTACCTGCAAGCCAAAATGAAAGACGAAGGAAGATATTAGCTCCCTTTATCCAACCTGATCTTGTAAGGGTTATCAAAGGCATGTTCATACAACTCACATTGCGAGCCTTCTCCAGATACATCTTGTACCTCTCTTCCATGGCCCGCATGTCGTCATCCTTCTTCTTCAGGGCTGCCATCAGCTCATCCACCCTCAAAGCTGATGCACAAGAAACCAGGTTTGTTTCATGTGTGATAGAATAGCAGAAAAACAGCAAAAGAAAAGAGCATTTAAACCCACATGTCTGAGTGTTGTCAGGCTGGAGATCCTCCAGAAGCTCCTTCTTCTTCATGATTTCATCTTGAGCCTCGTTGAGCTGGGACCTGAAGAAAGACAACAAATCAACATCCTCCAACTGGAGACAGTCAGCCTATATTTCTATTATCTATGAGCAAAACAACTCACATGTGGGCGTCCAGTTTCCTCTTCAGGTTTGACTAAAAAAAATATAAATAAATGTAATTAGTTAAGCTCAAAACCACAGGCTAAAAATTAAGTAAAACTCCCGACTAGAGCTCTAACTACTGATCATTTCATCGATAGATCGATTTCTATTGCTGCGGTCCAGCATCGATCAGTGCTCAGCAAATTGTTCATAAAAACGATGTGAACTAGTCTAAAATCTATTTAAAGGATAATCAATGGATTGTATAAATATTAGGGAAATAACACATTGATGTGTGGTAGTTTTTTTTTTGTTTGTTTGTTTGTTTG